TGGGGAAGAAAATATCAAAAAGTTAAAAATCCAGAAATAGTCCTAATTTTATGATGGTTCCTTAATTTATTTTAACTACATTGCATTTGAGTATGGAGAGGCAACTATCTGGAAGTATTTTACATAAAAAATTTACTAAGTATTGCCCGGTTTGTAGTTGCAGTTAAAGAAAACACATGAAAAGGCACGATTTTTTTTTTAATTCGAAAAAATGTAAATATTTCAAAAACGGTGACACTTTTACCTGAAAATTTTTTGTTTATCAGTGAGCTCACCCCCCCACCTACCTTGCCCTAAAGTTTGGCACGTTACTTCTGGGACACCCTGTATAATAAGCTAACAGGCCATTTAGTACGTTAAAGGCAGTACATAGAGGCCATGTAAAAACGCAAATGACCCTTTTCTTTATTATCCTTATTACTTTTTATAATTTTAAGTGCTTGTTGCGCTCTAAGGTAACTGCGCAAAGGGAGCATAGAGGGAGCATAGTATGTATGTATGGATGTATATGCGTGTGGTGTGCTTATTCTGAGCGTTGTGTAGGTAATTATAATTTCCATTAACATTTATTAAGTGTATAACATAGGAAGGAAGATAGCAAATGTTTTGCGCTTTACTGAACGTTGTACCAGTGGTTGTAGACCACCGTGCTGAGAAGTTCTGGTTTCTAATTCAACTCGGCATATGACCACTCTCAACGTTTGCGTACCTAGGCTGGTTCCGATTAGATTATTTTGAGGGCGGCAGCCTCTCAAGATTTGGGATTTCGTTGATGCTTGGCAGATGACGAGGCGAACTCATCCCAGCATTTCTTTTTCAACTGCAAAGAAACTGGACTACCAATAATATACCATAAATATCACCGTTAATTTTTGCCTGGAGCCCAAAATGGTACTTTACGGAGCCCTTTCGTGGATAACATAAATTACGCTCTTTAAATCTCTCGTTCTTGTTGACGACATATACTAACGAAGATTAAGGAGCCCTTCAGGAAGCTGGAAAACGTAAAATCGATTTTCCAAGTACTCCAGCGTAGTTTCCCATTGCACTTAATACTTACGGCCGGGTTTTCGCTAGTAGTCTAAATTTAGATCACGTAAACTGCTTTCATTTTTATGCGAAAGAGAGCTGAAATTTGACTGGCTAATCTTAGTTTAAACCAGCTGGTTCGAGCGTTTAAACTACGTTTACACCACAGACAAATTTAACTGTCACTGTGCATTGAAAAACTGTCCGTTAAAGCTCAGTTAGTCTAGACTTTATTACTTAACTTAACATTTTGGCCAATCTGTGATATGCGAAACTGTGTTGGCGGTTAGGTTAAACTAAAGTTACTGTAAGAAACATAAGTAATGGCCTTATGAAAATTCAGAGCGGTGGGCGAATCAGCCTTGCGAGATTTCCGTTTTTGTATTTCTTAAAAATAAATGAGGGCAACCATATAAAATCATTGACGATTTCTTACGGTGAGTTAAAGTCAGTCTTGATTAACTGAGCTTTTAGAGCGGTGGTGGGCATCAGCCCTTTCAAGCTTCGGTATAGAAAGCTTGCAAAGCTATTTCAAGCTTAAGTATGGAAGGCTTGAAAGTGCTTTTCCCGCGTGCAAGCTTGTGCCCATCACCGTTTTAGAGAAATAATTAAAAGGGTTGGCAAAAAAAGGTAGGGCTGGACAATCATTACTTTATTTTCATATCTAAACGAGTCGTATAGTTTCTAAAAAACGGACAACTTCTTCTTTTCCACCAAGCCAAGTTCTTTTGATTGCCCTTAGTAGTATAAGAGATTAAGAGTAGCAAACGATTCTAAATTTTTCTCATCGAAAAATGTTCATTTAATATATGGGGCGTTCCATACCAAAATGGACGGTTTCCACACTTCATGTGTTTGATTTGTTTAAAATTTTTAGGGTTGATGGATAAATAATAAATAAATATGAAATTTGAGCTTGATCAATACATTTTTAAAAACTTTACAGCACAAAAACAAATCGATTTAAAAGTTTTCCAAATATCTCGAGAACGTGGCGAGGAAAAAATTTGAAAAAATTGCACATACACATATCAAACTTCTCTATGAAAATAATTTTTTTTTTTAATTTTTTTTCTTTAAAAATTTTTCACATACATTTTTTTTGATGAAAAAAATTAGTTTTTGAAAATATGCCATCTAAAAAAAAATCACAATGGTAGCTCTGAGTATCGCGCAATATTTAAGTATGTATAGTATTACGGGGTGCACTCTACAATAATTTGAGTTATGAATGTTTTTTTACACCGAAGTTGAGTAAAATGAGTTCATTACAAATTAAAAATTTTTTTTTAAATTTTTTTTAGCCCATTAAATTTTAGTATAATAAATAGCAAGTTTTAAGCGATTGCAAAACTGACGTTATTTTTTTTAATTTTCTTGAAAACGGTTTTGCGCATTTTCTACAATAAGAAAAAAGAGCAAAATGCCGTCAGCATAAAAATATTAAAAATCAACGCAATTTTTCAGTAGCTTAAAACTTGCACTTTATTGTACTAAAATTTAATGTGCTACAAAACTGCATACTCTACTCTTACTAATTTAAATTCATTCTTTTTTCCAGCGATTACGCGTACCCTCTGCAGCCCATTTTAGCTTACACGATTTTCGCTTCGATGATATACATTTTGAAGATGACGATACGTTGAAGGTGAGTTCAGTGCTAATCGCTTTTTTACCTCTAAAAATATTAACAAACCCTTTTTACACAAATTCGCAAGAAAAACATTTACTAATTTTCCCATTATTTCAGGCCTGCCTTCGCATGTTCCTCGATTTGGACTTTGTTGAACGTTTTCACATTGACTACGAGGTGCTTTGCCGTTGGCTGCTGAGCGTTAAGAAAAATTATCGCAATGTTACTTATCATAATTGGCGACATGCCTTCAATGTGGCTCAAATGATGTTTGCCATACTAACGGTATGTAAATTTGATTTCATTTGTTTTTGGCAATTATTTGGTACTTTGATGGCGTTTGGTTAGATTTTTCAAACCTTTTCAATTGCTTAACACTTTTTTCTTTTCCTTTAACATTTATTATTCTTACTTTGTGTTCTTATAACTACCCTTTCTTGCTGCCTTTAACATAAATTTAAACTTAAAAAATAACGTTTTAGATTTTTGCATTACTTTTATTTGGTCACACAAATTTTGTGCACTATTCCCTTATCTGTTGCTTTAAATCACTTTTACTTTAAAAAGGGCGATGCTTATCTTTTGCATGCAAAACTATATAATTTCAACAGTTTTCTTCTTCTACTTACTTTTTTTTCTACAACTTTGAGTTTAAAATTGCCATATTTTATTTTTGCTTTTGATTGATTAATCAAAGATTTCCCATAATGGACAGGCGACGCAGTGGTGGAAGATTTTCGGCGAAATCGAATGTTTGGCATTGATCATCGGTTGCTTGTGTCACGATTTGGATCATCGGGGGACTAATAACTCATTCCAAATCAAGTGAGTGTACCACATGAGCTTCCGTTTTAGCAGCAAATCTTAACTCCGTAATTTTCATTTTTCTAGAGCCTCTTCACCATTGGCTCAACTATATTCTACATCCACAATGGAACATCATCATTTCGATCAGTGTTTAATGATTTTGAACAGCCCTGGCAATCAAATATTAGCCAATCTGTCATCTGATGATTACTGCCGGGTTATACGGGTATTGGAGGATGCCATTTTATCAACAGATTTGGCGGTGTATTTTAGGTGAGGCTGTGGAGTTAAGAACCTTTGAGTTTTATTGATTTTAATATTTTCTTATTTTGTTTTAGGAAACGCGGCCCATTTCTGCAATCCGTACAAGAACAACCGCTCAGCTATTGGGAGGCTGACGAACCCCGTGCTCTGCTACGTGCTATGAGCATGACTGTCTGTGATTTATCGGCCATTACGAAACCATGGGACATTGAGAAACGTGTGGCCGATTTAGTGAGCTCGGAATTCTTCGAGCAGGGCGATATGGAGAAACAGGAATTGAATATAATGCCCATTGTAAGTATTGGATTATTAATTAGTTCTTTGAAAGCTAAACAGAAGCGTAAATCTTAGGCCTCTTTATAGGCAAAAATTGTGTTAACCCAGCAGAAAATTTTTAACTGATTCTTGTGTAACCTAGCAGGAAATCTGCAATGGCTTCTTCTGTGTACAAATGAAAATTTCTGGTCTGGTTCAATACTTTTCCAGGACTTTCATAACTAGTTCATGACTATTTGAGAACAATTTCGGGACTAGTCCTGCTCCATTTTGAGACTATGTCAGGAACATTTTTAGACTACATCGAGATTATTTCGGGTCATGTTTCACAACCTTTTCGACCGTTTTGGGGCCTATTTAGGGGGTGTGCAATGAAATCTCGGCATACAGAATCCAGACAAGGCCAAATCCCGATCAGGCATATTCCAGACACGACAAAATCCCAGCCATACATAATCCAGACATGTAATCCCGACAATAAATCCCAACATAATATCCTCAGGCTCAACTAACGGTTGGAAACTTGACGTTTCGATGGGGTCGAACTAGAAGCAGAGGGGTATCAGTTGAGTTGGATCAAGTGGGCATGTGAAGAGGTGGTTAGTGTCATGTTCGCAAACTCCACATGCTGGACATTCATTGGAGGTGTTGGAAGACGAGTCGGGCCAGAGCTACGCGGGTATCTCGTGGGTATCTAGTTCAATTTGAAGCAATATTGAATACTTTAATAATTATGAATGTATTTTCCTGTATTTTATTATCCTTTCTATACCCTTTCTTTTACTAGAATCAAACTGCATACTATCGTAAGGTCGTTCGGGCCTAAAGATCCTAGGCCTGATCTTGTTGAAATTCTAAGGGGTGTTTGGTTCGGTTTTAACGGCTAGGTTATTAGCATTCAGAATGAATCCAACAATTTTATTGAGGCTTGGGCCGTTTTTTATGAAAAATGTTGTGGAAAAGCAACAATAATTTACAAAGTTAAGAAGTTATAGCTGCTATATGGGAGATCACCACATCTACTACTCAGATTTCTTCAACCGCGGTCACTAAGGAGATGTGGTGATCTCCGAAATAGCAGATATAGCTTCTACCTTTTGTAAATTATTGTTGATTTTCAATAACATTTTTCATAAGAAACGGCCTCAAGCTCAATAAAATTGTTGAATATAATTGCTATAAGGCCAGAAAAAAACAAGAAAAACTGAATGAATAATAAATCTAAGGTCAGTCAAACAGACCGACTGAAAGTCGGGGAGTATCCTTAAAGTCGATGTTTAAAACATCGGTAAAACTTCCATCAAAAACATCGATGCATCCTTCAAATGCATTGGACCATCAAATTCACTCCGTCTAGAGTAAAACTGGAAAGCCTAAGGGTTGTAACCGCAGATAATACATTGGATATACACAGTGGTATTATGGTCCATCTCGCCATGGTACTGCGGAAATTCAAGAATGAGTCGGGGTGAATTGCGGAAGTTACCAAAGTTTAAATTGGCGACGAAAGCAATTGGGAATTTGGTATTTTTCTTTTGTTTTCTCGTAAAAAATGTGCTTGAGTGAGGCCTGTACATATTTCTTCAGCATTTTCTAGGCATACATTCATAGGAATATGCAACTGACCATACCAGGTGGAGAAGGACTTGGCTTCACTTGGCATTTCCAAAAGAAGGCACAAAAGAGAAACCTCTGTCGTGTCGTATTGAATTCGCCCAAAATTGTTTGGGCTATTACAGTACCAACCATAGGAAAAAATCGTATTGATCCTTCTTTGAACTCTTGCCGTTTAAAATTTTACAATTTTTAAAGCCTTGACTTGTCCGTTATCGGATGTCTGGATGCGTCTATTCTTTTTTTATTGCATGAATATGCCACGCTTAAAAAAAATTTTGCCCGCAGCTTGTATTTTTTGAAAGCCTGTTAGTTTATAATTTCTATTTATGAATTTCCTCGCCTTTGCAGGACATTATGAATCGCGAGAAGGAGGATGAATTGCCCATGATGCAAGTTAATTTCATTGAGTCAATATGCTTGCCAATTTACGAGGTGAGTTTTCATAGCTTAAAATACTTTTGAGTAGTACAACATTTGCATTTGCTTGCGTCTTTTCTCAGGCTTTTGCAAACCTCTCCGACAAACTGGAGCCACTGGTCGAAGGTGTGCGCGATAACCGCGAGCATTGGATCGAATTGGCACAACAAGTACAAAATAAAGATAAAGCAGCAATTAGCAGCACCAATGGTGCCGTCGAAACCACAAAGCAGAATGGCTGCATTTCCGATGGACGAAGCGATGTGACTGATGAGTTAGGTACGACGACAGCCATTGTCAATTGTGACAGCAACGCCGATGATGGCATATCAACAGGCGCTGAGTGCGAGACAGATGAGCAAATCGATGGTAAAAATACAAAAAACAACAGCAACGACGACGATGATAATAACGACGATGATAACGACGAAGAAGATGAGCACTTGTGTGCAGAGGAAGAAGAGGCAGGCATTGAAGCGGATGATGATGATTCCGACATGGAGGCGTCACGTCACTCCAACGGCTGCTTCTCATCTGGTTCGAGTCGATTGAGCACGCCACCACCCACAGGCGAAGACGACAGCGTACCCACCTCACCGGCTAAAATGACGCAGGCCAAGTTAATTGCCGCAAATTTGAATAATTTGAATCAACAGACACAAAAGTCAACGAGCAACTGCTGTCGCAGCTGTGAGTATGCGCGCTGCAGTAGTAATATGCGCAAGGCCTCCTCGCTCAAGGGTACCAAAGAATTGCAACAACAACTGAGCTCACAAGCACAAAATGGAGGCGGCAGTTATGGCTATCACAGTCGTAGTACACCCTCAATGAATATGACGACGACAACGGCGGTGAATATATCAAATGGCGCGCAACAAAATCACAGCAGCAATACACATCATCATCATCATCATCACCACCACCACCACCACCGTCATCATGGTCACCACCACCACCATCACCATCATCACCTCCACAATAATCAGCATTCGACGCATAGTGGCAATGGCGGCGGCGGCAGTGGCGGCGGCGGTGGCGGCACGGGTACCGGCAACACATCGAGCGGCGCCGAAAGTGATAGAATACCAAAAATAGTCGGTAAGCTGGGTAATATCGATAGTCTGCAATATCTCGCAGACGGTGGCAATGGCGCTGCTGAGGCGCTACTCCGTGCCAATGCTGGTAGTGGTACACCAAATGGCATTGCATTCACACCAAATGGTCATGTCACCTATTTTGCTGCCAGTGATGTGCCCGCGTTGACAACAACGGCGAGTGTTGTGGCACCGGTAGTAGCGGCAGCAGTGACACCTACAATGGCAGCGACGGCGGCGACAAGCGCATGTGATAAATGAAGAGTTTGAGGAGTAGTCTAAGCGAAAGTTTTAGAAGATTTGAGTTCTTTTAGTATAAAAGCTAGCTAACTTCAAGTAGTGTATGTATTATTAGCTGTAATTGAGATACGGACGTTTACATAAATACTTTCGTTGGTTGCTGACGGTCAATGGGTGCATTGCTCTCTGATCGACGACACAAATATAAAATCCTTTTGTATTAGTGAAGAACGTACATATGTATGTGTAGGGACTAGCCCTTACACTGGCGCGGTAATACACTCAGGTGACAACACTGGGCGAGATGAAGAAACGTCAATTTTAAAATTTTAACCGATGCACGTCAGCTAACGTCACGCGAAAAATAGATA